TTAGAGTTTATACAGAATTAAATGCAGCATGCAAAGAAGTCGTATTTCCTCTAAAGTGTACTCCCTTCAGCCATAACAACAAATATTTATTTAGAGCTAATAATATGTCAAACTCAGTCAAGTAATGTTGAAAATATTATAGAATTTTGAGTCAACTATATCCAGAACTTTACATGTGCTAAGCACACACTCTACCACTGAGTTATTCTCCAGGTCAAGACCACTTTTTTTTTTTTTTTTTTTTTGGTACTGGGCCATAGCCCCAGCCCTACTTTGTATTTTATTTAGAGATAGGGTCTCATTGAGTTGTTCAGATCTTCATTTTTGCTGAGGCCGGCTTTGAACTCACAATCCTCCTGCCTCAGCCTTCTGAGCCACTGACTGGGATTACAGGCATGCACCAATATGCCAGCAAGACCACTCATTTTTATATAAGCATTTAAAACATCTTTTATATATCAATTAACTTCACATGAATAAATAAGAGAAAAAAATAGTGGAAAATTGTAAATATTATGACTACAATATAATTAGTACTGTAATTAAAAACAAAAAATTTCCTTTACCTAAGAAAGCCCTGAAACCTGGCAAATACTTTACTTAATTGAGGCAAAATTTTCAAACAATCTTTTAAGTGGGGGGGTGGGGCTGTGGTCTATGCCTGTCTTTCTGAACAGATAACTCAACCTCCTGTTCTGCATTAAACCTAAAATATTATTAATCTTTGGACTTCAGAATCCTTCTTGACACACCTCTTCCTTTCATCATGTCTGTTTTTTTGTTTTTTAATTTCAAAATCTTCCATCTTTTCTATTATCCTCAGTTCTTTTTTTTTTTTTTTTTTAATATTTATTCTTTAGTTCTCGGCGGACACAACATCTTTGTTTGTATGTGGTGCTGAGGATCGAACCCGGGCAGCACACATGCCAGGCGAGTGCGCTACCGCTTGAGCCACATCCCCAGCCCTATCCTCAGTTCTTGTCTGGATTTGCTCATTCATTCATCACTTACCTTACCAAGTGCCTATTATTGGCCAAATGTCCATTATCAGAGAGCTAGACACTGGTCCTTGCTCTTAGGAAGCTCAACTAAAGTTGSAATCTGTGATCTTAATCACCAGATTGCAAGCTTTAGCAAAGGCTTTGTATTTCCAGAAGCTAGCAGCATCTGGCATATAGCACTCTAAAAATGCTTGTTGTATGACTAGATTACTTTAGCAAGCTCTTTTTATAATCCATAAATATTTTAGTATGTATCCTCAAAATGGACTCTTATTTTTCTTTCTTTTTTAAAACACAAGTGCAATATGTGCACACAATGCAAAAATAACACAGAAAGGTATAAGGTAAAAAGTGAATTTCCCAATTTCCTAAATTCTGTTTCCAGAAGTGACTACTATCTTATGTATCTTTTCAGAATGCTCCCATGTTAGTATAACACACACACACACACACACACACACACACACTTCTGAAACAAGTTCTTTGACAATTTCTGACTATAGTTTTTCAACCTTCTAATCCAGTAGTTCTCCAAGTTTGGTCCTTGGATCATTAGCATCATCTGGGAACCTGTGTGAAGTGCACATTCTCAGGTCCCACTCCAGAGCTGTTGAAACAGAAACTCTGGGGGAGGAGTTGTCCAGATTTCTGATGCACAATGACACTGCTCTAATACAGTTATGCCATTTTTTTTAACTGTCCTACATATGGCAGGCATTGCTATCTTGTCTGTTTATCACTCCTGATTCCAAATGCTTTCCTCCTCTTTTTGACTGAATCTGGACCTATCAATCTATCAAGCCCAGAAAGTCTTGGTTCTTTTCCAAAATGGTCACTATCACAGCTCACACTAATCCTTCTTGGCCCCTTCCCTAAACTATCACGACACACATAGTGCCTCACCATACAATTTAACAATTAGCTTTATATCTTCGATGTCAGAGAACAGTTCTTTACTCTTCTCCAACAGGCCATAAGCTCCTTGAAGACATGAACCGTATTTTTGTATCTCTTTCCCTACCCCTGAACTGAAGACAAAATGAATTCTTTTTTTCTTTTCTTTTTTTTTTTTTGGTGTGTGTGATACTCAGGATTCAATATAGGACCTTGTTCGTGCGAGGCAAGTGCTCTATCACTGAGCTATAGCCCCACCACTCAAAATTTTATTTTGAGACAGGGTCTTGCTTAGTTGTTCAGGTGGGCCTTGAACTTAAAATCCTCCTGTCTCAGCTGAGTAGCTGGTATTACAGATATGTGCCACCATGCCTGGCACATAAATGGAATTTTAATAGACCTGCTGATTAATGAATTCCCCAAGATAAGAAATGCTGGTAAATCTTTTTTGTTTGTTTGTGGTGCTTAGGATCAAATCCAGAAGTCTCATGCATGTTAGTCAAGCACACTATCACTGAAACTACATTGATAAATTTTTAATAGATAAAAATTATGGAATTTTAAGCTGTAGTCCCAGTTCTATAGCATTGGATAAATTCAGTTCTCAGGATGATGTCTATGAAAGTGTCAGGGTTGGACTCAATACTTATTTTCAGTTTGAATAATATATGATTTTATAAAATGTCTCTTGTAGGAATACCTTAATCTATTATTCTCTCATAATGCTTTGCTTAGAATACTAACAGGACAATTTTTAGATGTGACTTGTTAGATGCAGTTAGACAGTTAGATGCAGTGTTTCCCAGTTAGCTAGTAAACTCTTTCAATAGGAAAAATATTTTATTCAACTGAAACTAGCACCATACATAATATTAGCTTAAGGCCTGGTCTGGTAGCACATACCAGTAATCACAGCAGCACCATGTCTCAAAGAAGGGCTCAGAGAGTAGCTTGCCTAACACACGTGAGGCAAACCCCAAAACCACAAAATAAAACAAACAAACAAACAAACAAACAGCTCAATATATCTGCAGAAAATTATATGGAAAAAATCTTTGAGCTTCATTTTAGTAGAGAACCTATACATACATCTGCTGCCTCCCAAAGGGTCCTTCTGAATATTTATTACAAATACCATGCATTGATATACAGTAAAAAACTGCTTTTATTCTGATATCACCAGGGTTAGTCAGTCACATAAGGCAAAAGAATGTGACAAATGTATATCACATGTACTAAGTAATAAACTGAAAAGGCAGTAAGCCTTAGACCATCCTACTGCAACATGTAAATAAAAATGGCTYTGTAGGCTTAAGCAGCATATACCAACTCAAACTATTGGGCATAAACAGGCTTCTTAATACAAGACCCTTATTTGCAAATGTTCAGAAACATCAGGGTGGAGTGAGGCCTTTGAGAGGTGAGTGATGATGAGAAGTTGAATCTAACAGGAGTCACAGCAAAGAGAAACTGAAGGGCAAGATGAAGAACAGAAGGGCAACAAGAGACCATCACCCTTTGAGTGATGAAAAGAAGCAATGGAAATACACTGATTTTACCACTAGTCCACTATAAGCCAGGCATCTGGGGTTGCAAAGACAATCCCTGACCTCAAGGAGCTAATAGTCCTAAGGGTAAGACCTGGCATATACCCTACTGTGTGTGCTTAATTCTAATTGGGAAAATCAAGCAGGTAAGGCTTCACAAAGAAGGGAGTGATTTAGTGAAGTCTTTGAAATGTGGAGGAGGATTTGCTAAGGGAGAAAAAGGCAGTTTGAGCTAGTTATTTTGGGGGCAAAACATTCACATATTTTTATAACTGTTCATTTGGGACTTCAAATCAAGGGCTTCTTAGATGCGGCACCACTGTCAGTGATCTTTCTCCCCTTCACATTATCTTAAATACTGAAATGTTAAAGCCCAACGTTGGAGCAGAACCAGAAGTCCCAGAGTGAGGTGAGCGCTCGCCAAATCTGCTCTGTCACCTCCAAGGCCAGCTAGCCCAGCTACCCCATTCCTGCTTTCCTGGCAGCTAGGAAAAGAAGGCTAATTATACTCACTAGAAGAGATAGGCTGAGGGAAAAATCTGGATGCAGCAAGCAAGGAATACCCTGTTCTGCCACTAAGCCACCATAGGAGAGCTATCCTACCTCCCAAGTCATGAGGAACCTAGTTTACCTGTGACAATGTGGCCAGCCATGCAGCGGGTGGGGAAGGAGAGATTTCATGAAAAGGAAGGGGGAAGCACTGTATTAGGAAGTGCTGAGGTATTAAGTGAGATGATCTTAATAAAATGCTTAGCAWGATCCCTGACACACAGCAAGTACTGGATGAGTGTCAGCTCTTATTAATATCACATTTTATTACAGTAACACCTCAACTGTACTCCGACAATAAGATATTCTTCCTGCAGCCCACTTTATGACGTTTTAGAGCAACTCCGCTAAACACATGACAAGTGTTTTTTAGAAAATATTTAAAGGTTTGAGATCAAATTCCATCTCCACTGGCCTTAAGAGCCCAAGCACCTGAGTTCGACAACCATCCCTGCCACTGGTCAGCCCCGTGACCTTGGGCACAGCACTTCACCAATCGGTGCCTCAGTTTCCTTGGCTGTGAAGTGCGGCTAAGGAGCCCTCTCCCCGCAGGGCGGTCGTGGGGTCCCAGCAGTGGCCACCCCCTGCTGCTTCGGGGCAGCACAGGGCAGGGCGAGCCAGGCCCCTCTTCCGTGCCCCCCCACCCCGCTCTAGGGCGGCCGGAGCAGATGGATGCCCAGTCCGGGGAGACCGCCGAGCTCTGCCGCCTGCAGAACGCGAGCAAGAAATGGGGTGGCCCTGCAGGGGTCCCTGGGACTGTGGGTGTCGGAAGAAGGCTCGACCCGAGTCGTTCACACGCTGTCGCCCGCGGGCAGGGCGCGGGGAGCCGCGGCGGGAGGGCGGGCTGACCCGGGGAGGGGCGGAGAGTAGGGGGCCGGAGTTGGTCGGCTGGCATTGCGGACCCCGGGCCCTGTCGACGGCGAAAACCCGGAGCCGAGGGCGGGGAGAAAGAGCGACGCCCCCGCGCGGCGCGGCGCCGGGGGTGGGTAGGGCTAAGGCGCTCACTCACCTGAGGCGCGGACGCCGCGGTTAGTGCAGCAGTAAGCAGCAGCAAGCAGCAGCGGCAGCGGTGAGGGGTGGGAGGAGGAGCGCGGCGGGCGCGCAGGCGCACTGAGGATGCCAGGGCTGCGCAGGCGCACTACGCTCGCTTGCCTCGGGAACTACCAAGGAGATGGCGACTGAGGCGGGAGGGGCTGGCGGCGCCATACTGGGTGTAGTTTTTCTTGCTGCGGAGTCTCCTCCGAGAAATCTGAGGGGCCAAGAGGGAGGGGTGTGGAATGCTATGTCTGCATAACCTCCTCCCCTTCCTCTGAGTCACATCCTTATGAAATCCCTAAGATCCACGCGTGCCTCTTTTAAGGAGGCTTGAGGCAGTACCCAAGGTCACAAGGCCCCCAGCACAGTGCGTGGCACATGGAAGGGACTTGGTAAATTTTTGTGAATGAACACAGTATCTTCAAAACTAGAATTTGAGACTCGCGGCTCCTAATTCCCAATCCTCTTTTACATCCCCTCTAGAACTACCAGTCACACTATTTGTTTTTTTGAGTGCAACATGAGAGATGGATTTTTTGTTTTCCAGAATCACTGCACACTTTAAACTTAATAACCCAACAATTTAAATAACACTAAAATGCACAGGACATAATCCCTCTCCCTTAGGAGTTTTATTCGTTGATCTATTATTTCTTTTAATGTTATGTATCTGGGACTAGAGACTATTCTCTGAACTAAATGAGGGCAAATGGAATAAAAACAACCAAATCTTCCAGAGGCAGTGATATTGTTATTCATCACGCACAATTTCTGAACCAAATTTGGATAAAGGAAAAACTGATTTTTGAGCACAGCTCTTTATTATACACTTAGGTTTGTTCATKAACATTTACTGAGTGCCAAGTTGGCTGTACTTCGCCCTCCACTGTCCATATGTCTATGGTTATATTATTAAACCATGCCTGAGTTCATTTATAATGACAAAAAAAAAAAAATAGAAACCACCTCATAAATTTATGATAAGGACTAAATGATGCTTAGTGCTCAATAAGTATTATTTTTCTGTGTTTTATTTAGCTGTTGAGGATAAAAATCACACTTCCAATCCTTTAGTTTGAACAAGTACTCATAACAAAATATACAATATAATAAGTAAACTAGAGGAGGTGTGATTACCTTGGAAGTGATCTATCCTCATTTTATAGGTGAGGACGTTTGGGATAAGAGGATTCACTTCAAGCTCTGCATTCTTGCCATTACACTACTCTGCTTCTGCAGGAGTGGRTAATCAGCACCATTCTTTTCATTGTGAAGTTAGCTTTCCTTGAGGTTGAAATTTCCCTTCTTGTTCTATTATGGACAACATAATCCATTCTTTTTTTTTTTAATTTTTTTTTTAATATTTATTTTTTAGTTCTCGGCGGACACATCTTTGTTGGTATGTGGTGCTGAGGATCGAACCCGGGCCGCACGCATGCCAGGCGAGCGCGCTACCGCTTGAGCCACATCCCCAACCCCATAATCCATTCTTAAATCTTCAATAACTAGACATCTCTCTCAAGTTTTATCTCTATTCCAGACTTCTCTACTCAGTTTTCCCCCTTTATGTCTGACAAGACTAGTTGAATTCTCCATTTGGTATCCCAAATTGAACTACTAGGTTTTCCATCTCATGCTCTACCCACTTGTTCAAGCCTTCATCCTCAGGAGCAAACTGATAACCAGTGTTCTAAATCTGTTATTTAATCTAATCCTTACAGTATCCCTGTAATATAGATTCTGTCCTTCTCCTGACCTTACAGGTAAGAGGTTAAATAGCTTTTTCCCAATAAGATAGGAAGTGGCAGAGTTGGGTTTTAACACAAAGGCTCCATGTCTGCCATGTTCCAGACACCATAAGCTGCAGACAGTTCTGCCCCACTCATTCACTGTCAACACCCAACACAAGCTGTTATTTCTCACCTCTACTACTTCAGTAGCTTAAGTGATCTTTCATATCCACACCTTGCTTGCTTCTATTATTAGTTCTGGCCTGGCTCAGTGGTACACACCTATAATTCCAGCAACTTGGGAGGCTCCTACTTTCTTTTTTTTTTTTTAATTATTATTAATATTTTGCTTTTACTTTTTTTTTTTTAGTTGTAGTTGAACACAATCTCTTTATTTTATTTATTTATTTTTATGTGGTGCTGAGGATTGAACCCAGGTCCCTCCTGTGTTAGGCGAGCGCTCTACCACTAAGCCACAATCCCAGCCGAGGCTCCTACTTTCTTGAGACATTGAGGCAGAAAGATCAGATCACAAGTCTGAGGCCAGCCTGCATAGTTTAGTGAGACCCTGTCTCAAAATAAAATTAAAAGGACTAAGGATCTAACTTGGTGATAGAATGTTTATGTATCATGCACAAGGCACTAGGTTCAATTCTCAATACCATAGAAAAGAAAAAAATGCTGCTTTTGCATAGAATACTTGCCCAGTTTAATGTCTTTAACCTTTCCAAGGTAGCTATATCATCTCTCTGTGTTCCTGGACTGGGAACATAGGTTGGTAGAGTGCTTGCCTTGTATGTACAAGGCCCTGGGTTCAATACCCAGCACCACACACACACACACAAAAACCCCAAAAAACCAAAAAACCCCCACTCTCTGTTCCTTGTTTCCAGTACAATGCGCATGAAAGAATTTCCCTATGTTCTTTGTACTCTCCCCAGTGCCTAGAAGTGTTTAAGAAATATAGGGCAAGGTGAGGAGATATCACCTCTCCCCAATGGGGTGTTTAATATCTAATATTTTGACTAAATGTCTAAATGTATAGGTTTTGTCCCATTAATGGGATGAAAATTTAAAAAAAATTAAAAATAAATTAGCTATTTTATTGGTAATAAGTTCTGAGGCATATTTTCATACTACTGCTCACTTCACTTTGATAAAGAATCTTTATTTTCTGGGCTGGGGTTGTGGCTCAGTGGTAGAACATTTACCAAGCATGTCTGAGGCACTGGGTTYGATTCTCAGCACTGCATATAAATAAGTAAAATAAAGGTCCATCAGTAACTAAAAAATATTTTTTTAAAAAATCTTATTTTCTATTAAGCATTCTTTGCCTTTAATCATTTTTAGAGACTGGGGCATAGCTCCATAGTGGAGCACACTGTTAGCATGCACAAAGCCTGTGGGCATAATGCTCAGCACTACAAAAACAATATTTTAAAAATACACTCAAAACATGTATAGACAGGAAATTTTTTAATTATTTATAATTTTATAGTTTATTCATAAATACAAAGAACTACTGGGAAACAGGCAGGGGGTGTAGCTTGGTGGTAAAGCACACTTGCCTAGCATGGATGAGGCCCTGAGTTTGATCCCCAGCACAGAAAAAAAAAAAAAATTAAAAGTAGCATTTAGTTCCTCTTGCCATGAATTCAATGCTTAGTATATCAACTCAATGTTAAAAACTAAAGTGCACTCAAGACATAAAAAATGAGTAGTATTTTCTTTAAATTGGACATTTTGTGAAGTGATGTATGTATCCCCATGATGGAAACAATGCTCAATGCTCTTCTATCTAAAATCCCCTTCATAGCCACACCTTGAAAACCAACCTGACCCCTTTATGACCAGAACCCACCTTGGCCCCTAAAATGTTTCATTAAACTTGGTCCTAAAAGACTTTGGTTTCAAAAGCTGAAATCTTCATACTATGAAGGATATTTAAAAGAATGGGCCACTGGTTTTGAAGGCCATTTCAAAAAGGAAGTTTCAAACATTTTGCATATTCCTGGAAAAAAATGTGTTTCTAATTTTCTTTTGGATGCATGAATTCTATCATTCAGAAAAAAGTCAAAGTTCTCCAGAGTCAGCTAGCCAGTTATCCTCCATAGCAACAGAGCTGTCCAGCTCAGACTGCTGTGTAGTTGCCACATGCTGGGGCACTCTTCCCAATCCTCTCCTTTGAGTGTCTTCTGGTAAAAAAGCTGGGCAAGATCACTGACAAGATCCAGAGCAATGTGTGGTAGACGGCTTCTGTAGGTGAAGTTTAAGCAGTTTTCGAGCAGGTGAAGTATCTAACTGTTGCATGCTTCTCTTCTCTGCAGAGGAAATGAGACAAAACTAAATCTCAATTGAATTTACATAAAGTTTATTGAAGAACTAAGGGTGTAGTTCAGTGGTAGAATACTGGCCTAGTACTAGTGAGGCCCTGGGTTTACTGCAAAAAACAAACAAACAAACAACAACAACAACAACAACAAAAAACCAAACAAGCAAAAAGCAAAAAAAAGTGTGAACACTGTTAGTGAATGACATTACAATGACAACTCAGTTCATGGGGATTTAATTCTTAGTCTATTGTTCTTCTGTGGAATTTACATCTAGAAATTTCCCATCAACAACCAGGCACAGGGGCACACACCTATAATCCCAACTACTGTTGAAATATGAAAGGCTGAGGAGGAGGATTATAAGTTCAAGGATAGCCTCAACATAGTGAGACTCAAACATAAAAAGCCAGAGGATGTGGAGACGTGGAGCAAGAGCTCAGTGGCAGAGCTCTTGCCTAGCATGTGTGAGCCAGTGGGTTTGATCCTCAGCACCACATAACAATAAATAAATAAAATAAAAGTATTGTGTCCATCTACAACTAAAAAAATAAAAATTGGGGGGCTGGGGATGAGTGATAGAGTGCTCGCTTGACATGCGTGAGGCACTGAGTAGRATCCTCAGCACCACATAAAAATAAAAAATAAAGGTATTGTGTCTACCTATAACTTAAAAAAAAGTTGGGCATAGTAGTACATGCCTATAATTCCAAGTGACTCAGGAGGTTGAGGCAGGAGGATTCAAAGCCAACCTCAGCAAATTAGCAAGACACTGTCTGGAAACAAAAATAAAAAGGAGTCTGTGGTTGGAGCTCAGTGGTAGAGCGCTTGCTTAGCATGTGTGTGGCACTGTGTTTGATCCTCAGCACCACATAAAACTAACTAACTAAATAAAAGGTATTGTGTCCATCTACAACTAGGAAAAAATAAAAATTCAGTGTGGTGGCTCACACCTGTAATCCCAGAGGCTTGGGAGGCTAAGGCAGGGGGATTACAAGTTCAAAGCCAGCCTCAGCAATTTAGCAAGTCCCTAAGCAACTGAGAGAGAACTTGTCTCTAAATAATATATTAAAAGGGCTAGAGATAGGGCTCAGTGGTAAAGCACCCTGGGTTTAATCCCTAGTACCTAAATTTTAAAGGGTGATGGGAGTGGTGTGGCTCAGTGATAGACTACCCTGGTTAAATCCCCAGTATAACCAAAAAAAAAAAAAAAAGAAAGAAAGAAAAAAAGAAATTTCCCATCAACATATTATTTATTGTGGGGAGAAAAACAAATCCTCTGATATAGGTCATACCTCAGGACCACATGCTTTGTAGGGCAGTTTGCATCCCAAAGGCCATCAGATATAGAAGAGCCTAAGCTCCAGTCCCCTGGAGACACTTACCAAGCTGTGCTGACACCTTCTGGAGGCACTGGGTACTTTCGTCCATAAACGTTTGCAGCTGTTTTACTGATCCTTGCAGCTCATCCATCTGCAGACAAAAGACAAGACAGAGCTGCAGAGCTCCATGGCTTCTCTGATATTCCTCCAACCTCCCTGGGAGGCTCCTGCTCAGCTTTCAGCCTGCTAGTCTTTCAGCCTGGAATGCTTATGCTAGGCAGTTTCTATTGACGCCTCCTGAGCCATTCCCTACTTTTCTCCAGCCTGCTCTGTGCCTTCCCAGGCTGACCTCTATGACCACTACCAACAGGTCTGAGGCTGACACCTATGATCTCTACAAACAGGATGCCACATCCTCTAGTTTCTGGTTGGGTGTAGTTATAAGGGAGCCCTAGTGGGAGGGAGCTCAACGAAGCCAGGATATTTATTACCCAGGATTGTTCCCAGAAAGGTCATCTTGAGTTGGCTGAATCCCTCAAGCCTTGAGGTCATAGCTCTCTCAAAGTATGTATTGTCCTCTCCTCAGATGCCACAGTAACTGTCCTCCCTTCAGGCAAACAGGTAGGATGAGCTCAGCTACCTCTAAGCTACAGGTTACTCCACTRGCCCTTGTGGTTCTGTGGTACCCACATCTTTATCCATAGTTGCATTGAAATAAGGTTTTGGAAATTCCTCAAACTACCTTATTTCAAATGCCCATCTGCTTCCTGTTGATACTAGGACTGACAAAACACTGTTCTCCCAAATGTCCTCATGGCTCACTTTCTCATTCCTTCAAGTTTCTGTTAAACTGGCACCTTGGTGGGGCCTTTGATAAGTGCTTTATGTAAAAAACAACCCGAAACCCTTTCTGTACTCTCTATCACCCTTACCCTGCTTTATTAGCACTTACCCATATATTTACTTTTTATTATTATTTTTTTTATTTTCTATGGTGCTAGGGATGGAACCCAGGGCCTTGTGTCTACAAGGCAAGCACTCTACCAACTGAGCTATATCCCCAGCCCTCCATATTTATTTCCAAGGATGATGCTATAGTTGGATTTTGAATGTCCCCCAAAGGCTCATATGTTAAAGCCTTKGTCACCAGCTTGTGGTGCTACAGGGAGGTAGTGGACGTAGTGGGAGGGAGCTTGAAGGGATACTGGGTGTGTGCCCTTGAAGGGTTACTGGGACTCAGGCCCCTTCCTCTTGCAGTTCCCAGCCACCATAATGTAAGCAGCCTCTCTGTCATGTGTTCCACCATGGTGTACTGTGCCACAACAGGCCCAAAACAATAGGGCCATGCAACCATGGCCTGAAATGTTCAAAACTGAGTCAAAYTAAATCTTTCCTTCTTGTAAGTTGATTATTTTCAGGGATTTTGTCACAGCGATGGAAAACTGACKAATAGATAACGAGCAGCAAAGCTGGAAAGCTCAACCAAGTAAGACTGAGCCAACTTACCACCAGCTCCATATGATCAAATACTTTGTTTTGGTTCTGTAATATTTTCTGATAGTCAGGTTTTGTGTTAAGAACTTCACTCTGAGAAGACCCAAGATATGTTGTAGGTTCTACTTTGACTTCAGTAATTTTGGTTTCAGCTGATTCTCTAAAACAACCAAAAAAGAAAAGATTTTCAAGGAATTTTACAGTCACTTTCTGGAAAAGATATCAAAGATTATTTCTGAAAAAACCTCCCACAAGGTCAAATCAATATTTTTTTACCCTACTCTAGGTATGGGATCTCTCTCTCTTTTTTTTGGTAGTAGCAACTGAATCCGGAGGTATTCTACCCCTGCACTACATCCCAGTCCTTTTATTTATTTATTTATTTTTTGTTTTGAGAAAGRGTCTCACTAAGTTATTTAGGCTGGCTTCAAACTTGTGATTCTCTTGCCTCAGGCTCCTGAATGGCTAGAAGTACAAGTGTGTGCCACCATACCCAGATCTCCTTTTTCTTTTGCAGTAGTGGGATCAAACCCAAGGCCTTGCACACGGTTAGCCAAATACTCCACACTGAGCTACACTGCCAGCTTCTGGTACAGGCTGTCTTCACAAGGGGCTCTGAAACAACTGTTCTGTATTAAAGTTTTTATACCACTAGACTCTGGGAAATGCTAAAAGTTTTAGGTCAGTTAACTCCACTGAACAGTAAGTATGTACATGAACAAAAAGGGCTATCATTGGAATAAAGGGAAGCCAAAGTCTGCTACCCTAAAGTCAATGTCTATAACATTTACCAAAAAAATGCTGATCTACCTTGAGTTCATGAAAACTGATGGAAACCTTTTCAAAACTATCACTACAATTTACTGAGTGCTTTGTAGGTGCCAAATGTTGCTAGTCACTTTCCATTTAACATAACAACCCAATGAGAGGTAATATCCCTGTTTTCAAATGAGGAACCCCAGACTCCAAGAGAATGATCTGCCTGAGTTCACAGATTTAAGTAGTCAGACTGCTTCTAGAAGCACTTCTCTTTTTTTTTTTTTTTAAAGAGAGTGAGAGAGGAGAGAGAGAGAGAGAGAGAATTTTTAATATTTATTTTTTAGTATTTGGCGGACACAACATCTTTGTTTGTATGTGGTGCTGAGAATCGAACCCGGGCTGCACGCATGCCAGGCAAGYGCGCTACYGCTTGAGCCACATCCCCAGCCCTAGAAGCATTTCTCTTAAACTATAAACTTTGCCACAAAGTTTTTATTCTGAAACTGACATCTTATATAGAGTCTATCCTCATAAATAGAATAGGTGTGGGGTAAATAAGGTAACTGATAACCCCCACTCCTTGGATTAGAAAAGTTTTTCAAACCATTTTCCTCAAAGCCCCTCTCTACTGAGAGGCCATTTTTGCAATTATAGAGTCTTGGCTAACATTTTATAATTGACTTTCTAGCTAACACTACTGGAGGGGAAAAAAAAAAAAGCTTAAACTTACTTGTTTAGATGCTCAATTAAATAAAAATTCAGCACTTTCCCACTTTCAAGATCCAGACAAAGATCTGGATCTTTCTTTCCTCCTCTATCACTCCCCTTGCATGTTTCTGTGTCTCCATGAAAGCCCTTCAGGATGCATACCTGCATCTCAAAGTCCATGTGCTCACTCAGGTCTCTTGACTACTGTACTTGGCCCAGACCCAGGTGGACAGGTGCAAAGCAGAGATGTGCCTGTCTCCCTAAGGATGTGAAACCACAGCCAAAGTCACAGGACAGAGGCAATTCTGTTCTGAGACTAAAAATAGTGATGCCAATTTTTCCTTCTTTCTCTGCCACACTCTGCTTATGTCAGAGAGTACTAATACACACTTTTACAGAGTTTTGATGCATTTACTGAACTGTGAGAAAGGATTCACCATTCAATTTGTGCTAAAAGAACTGAAATAAATGCAAATCAAATTCCACAAGGTAAAAAGATGGCTTCCTGTTTACAGATCTAACCTGGACATGGCTTCTGGTGGTACTGCTTTCTGGTAGCGCAGCAAAAGCTGATCCCAAGTCTGACTTTCTAAAGAAAATCTACAGAATCAGGGAGAAAAAAAAATCTGTTAATTTTGATCATCTCATTCATAATCACTCAGGGCAACAATAAGTACCTTAGGAATATAATCTGGTTATAAAATGTGAATAAAAAAGTCATTAAAGGATTAGAAAGCTAAACTGATCAGAGGATATTAATTTAATCAAATAAAACAAGAGTTCTTAAAATGAAATTAACATCCTTATATTCCCAGACTCCTTCCTATGAAATTAGCCATCAGTAGAGCCATAAACTTTTCAATATGCAGCCTTTTAATTTTTATTGTTGATATATTAGTACTGAGCACCATGTTTACAATTAATTTTCCCCAGTATTATATTCCCCAGATGAAGAATTAATTTAGCCTTTCCCAAATAAGTTTCACTCATTTTCACTTACTTTGTTATATACTCCTTCATCTCAGCCACTGACTTCTCCAGAGACAAATCTGATGCTTTTCTGGAATACAGATAGAATTATGAGATTAACATGAATCTTTCAAGAAATACTTGTTTCTAATATGATGTCCTATATAATTTCTTTGCAGTGCTGGGGATTGAACACAGGGCTTTATACTTGCTAGGTAAGCACTCTACCCCTAAGCTACATCCCCAGTCCCTACATAATTTTAGTGGCATAAAAACATTCCTAACTTTTTATCTTTCACCAAATATTTGTTTTTGGACTTATATCTCACTGGTGTGTGTGTGTGTGTGTGTGTGTGTGTGTGTGTGTGTGTGTTTACGGTACTGGGATTGAACCTGGGGGCCTTCTACCATGAGCTTCATCCCTAGTCCCTTTTTAAACTTTTTTATTATGAGACAGGGTCTCCTAAAATTGCCAAAGCTGGCCTGAAACTTGCAATCCTCTTGTCTTAGCCTTCTGAGTTGCTGGGATTATAGGCATGCACCACCATGCTTGGATCTGCTCACTTTTGTCTCTTTATATTCCATTTCTCTCATCCATTCCAATTTACACCATGGCCAAATTAACTTTTCTAAAAATAGTCCTTTAATTTTTGCTAAAAAACTCTGTGATTAGCTGGGTTCAGACGTTAACTACAGGTGGCATATATCTATTTTTGTTTATTAATTTTTATGTTGTGCTGAGGATCCAACCCAGTGTCTCACATGTGGAAAGCAAGTGCTCTGCCACTGAGCCACAACCCTAGCCCGTTAACTACAGGTGGCATATATCTATTTTTGTTTATTAATTTTTATGTTGTGCTGAGGATCCAACCCAGTGTCTCACATGTGGAAAGCAAGTGCTCTGCCACTGAGCCACAACCCTAGCCCCAGGTTGAGCCACAACCCTAGCCCCAGATTATAGGTGGCATATACCTATAATCCCAACAACTTGGTAGGCTGAGGCAGGAGGATCACAAATTTCAGGTGAGCCTAGGCTTAATCCCCAGTATCATATTTGAACCTTTGTGACTACACAGCTTACAGAAGAAAAGCCTGAACTCTTAAAATTGGCACTTAGGGTTATCTATGTTTTGGTCCACCCAATTCATCAATTTTGATTCCTACTGTTATTCAATGGCTCAGCTCAGTTGATTAATTCTAACAGAAAGAAAGCAGGCACTAAAAATGCCAAAATATCGTAGATGCTCTTGGTACTCTGCCTGGCAAAGACAATTAGTAGTACCACCATTCCTGTGTTTTTACCTAGGCCTGGGAAACTGATGAGATGAAGTGGCCTGTGCTTAAATATATTAAAAGAGATGCTGTGTTGAGCTAAAATATCTTTCATTTCCTGATTAGAAATGTCAATCCTAAGGACCTATGGAAAAGTAGACCTTCATGAAATCCAAACTTAAAGTTCATGATGTAAGTCTAAGTGCTTGGCTTGTTGCAGAGCACAGTTAGCAGGTTGGGGATAACCTTGAACCTGAAGAACTACCAATTTTGGAGGTGGAACTTTTAAATTTAAATTTATGCTAATATTCTTGCTTGTCAAGATCCAAAGAACATGATTTTCTTTCATCTCACCTGACTAGCAAAGATCTGAATTGAGCTTTTTTCATCTTTCCATGGCTGGTTCCTACTCATCAGAGGTCAAATCATTAGRGAATTTCTCTGAACATTCTACCTTAAGTTGCTCACATCCTAAAGTCATATATTTTTTAATTTTCTTTTTTTTATATTTATTTTTTAGTTGTAATTGGACACAATACACTTATTTTATTTATTTATTTTTATGTGGTGCTGAGGATTGAACCCAGGGTATTGCACATGCTAGGCGAGCACTCTACCGCTGAGCCACAACCCCAGCCCCAATATTTTTTAACTTTCTTGATCATCACTATCTGAAATCACATTTTCTCTGTATTTGACTGTCTCCTTTATTACCATATATGATTAAAAGATTATTGTTAGGCTTATTTATCATTGTATCCCCAATACTTGAAAGATCCTGACACATACGAAAATGCTATATAAATGTTTGTTGAAAGAATAAACAACTGTTTAAAATAACAATGAAAAGTCCTAATTCGGTTATAATTTAGGACAGAGGGGAATTGCTCTTACTCTTTTGAATCTTCAAAACATTTTTGTAGAGTTCCATCACTTTCCAGTCTGTCTGCAAAATGTTTTAACTCCTCAGAAAGAGAAGATGCTAGAGAGAGTAAAATAATGTCATACAATAGAAAGAATATAAATTTTCACAATGAGCTAACAAAGATACTTAAGGTCTTCTTAGGTCTAGAAAACACCTTCTAGTGTTCTGTTACATTCTGGCCCTCTCAWTCACTCAAAAAAGTGGTCCAAGTATGCAGAAAAATATTGTCTATTTTCTCTACTATATATAGAAAAAATGGAAGATAACTTCTTCATGTCATTTTTAAGTGGTTTTATACTTGACCAGTGAAAAAGGAGTTAAACAGGTATATAAGTACTGATAACTTCATTTTTTTCAAGAGACATGCACTCCTGGTACTAGAAGGAAAAGCATTACAGAAGTCAGGAAATAGGCAAGAGTGTAATGAGACATAATGATGGCAAACAAAAAAATACATGCACACAGGGAGAGATGGCTCATGCTTATCTACAATCCCAATGAATTGAAAGGCTAAGGCAGGAAGATCCCAAGTTTGAGGCCCTCCCAACAACTTAGTGAGACCCTGTCTCAAAATAAAAAGGGTTGGGGATATGGCTCAGTGGTTAAGCTACCCTGGGTTCAATCCAAAAAAACAAACAAACAAACAAMMAAAAAAAAAAAAACATGTGCTCAAGGAAAAAACAGGTCTCTGCTAGACTTGAAAGAGCCTACTGTAACAGGTGAAGAAAGTGAAGGGGAAATGTTAATTATCCATCAAGCTAACCCGGATGTGTCTACTCTAATTATGGTGCAATTCTGAGATAAACAATCTCTGCTGACAAGTAAATCTGAGTATTTTCTAGGTCTTTTTAAAAATGAAGTACCAGGTTCAAAGCTCACTCATCTATTCTTAGTAACTTACCTTTTGCTCTAAAATTTTCAAGACTGAAGCCTTTAGTGTTCCTTAGGAAAGGTTCAAGTTTCTGTACCGAGAACTAAAAAAGAAAAGTTTTTTCAGTACAACAACAAAAAAATTTCCAGGCCAGTCCTATAGCTTTGTAATGTTTAATAAATATAAACTAAATATGATTTAATTTTTTTTCACCTAAGACTTTTCATATAAACAGAATAAGTCAGGAATAAAACACTTTGTTGTTCAGACTACACATTTTAACTCAGAAAAAAAAAAATCATTTAATTCACACAAATTATTTGCTTCTCTGAACTGCCATAAGCACCAGTGAACCATAGCATAAACAATATAATTAGGGGCTGAGGTTGTGGCTCAGAGGAAGAGTGCTCGATTAGCATGCTTGAGGCACTGGGTTCAATCCTCAGCACCACATAAAAATAAAATAAAGGTATTATGTCCACCTACAACTAAAAAATAAATATTAAAAAAATAATTAAACAACAAAACTATATGACATATATCATATATTGGTTTAGCATGTAATCATACCTCCAATGTTTGTAATAACTTCAACTTTTACCTCTACCCACTTTAAATTCCCATCACTTGCTGTCAATGGGCAAAAGATACTGTACTGGGGAAATCTGTTAGCTGCTCAATTAGTACAGCAGCAACAATGAGACTAGTATAGAGAATTTGGTCCAAAAAGAACATGCTGCTGGGGTTACATCTGGCTTTTACATTAATCTCAACCTGAGGAAAACATCTTTTAATCAGTTCATTGCGTACTAATATCTCTGAAGTTGGAACAATAACAGTTGAAACAACAAAAAAGTTGAAAGCATTTCCCAATCTCAAGAATCTCACCTGAAAACTTGAAAGCAGGAGAGCACCAAGCCGTTTGCTTTCTGCTAAGTCAACACTGATGGACCTGCTGAGCTCTAAGATAAAATATCACCACATTTAAGGAAATGCATACTTACACAGCCAGCAAAGTAAACAAAATAAAAATTTCCTCCCTTGATGCAATCCAACTTAAAGCAAGAAGGAGCTTTCTCTGATTAAAGGAAGAATTCTAATTCTTCCAGAATCCTAGAGGAATGAAGTTTTCCTATTTGTATATCCAAACTTAAAAAAAGTTATAAGAATCTTTCTTAGGTATTACATTAAACTTTTATTTTGTTAAACAAGGTAGATATAAAATAACTTTTTATAATTCATATTCACCAAAGAAAGCAGATGAGAACCTTTGAGCATTTTTATATGACAGGCACTGCAAGGTGCTTTAAAGACATTAAGAGTCTTCTTATAAATTCCACAAGCTCCATTTTAGAAATGGGGAAACTGAAGTGATTTGTCTGAAATCAGAGACTGGAGGAGTCATGATTCAAACCCAAACCTATCACCAAAATCAGTGTTTTACCACTAGGTGCCATGCTGCCTCCCTAAAATGACCTACTCAACATGAAGAGCTAACACCTATTGAACACTTGCTATATAAAAAGCATTTTATTAAATGCTATGTACACCTCATTAAACTTAGAGGCAAGTATCTTATCAATTCCATCTAATGAAAGATGATGCTAAGGAACAAAGCTGGGTAACAGATAATTTACTCAAGATCACATAGTGAGTTATGAGACCACATTGACTGGACGCTTTCCATAATTATGCCATTGATTCCTCAACTGCAAAATATAGATATTGTTAATTTTAATTATTTTCATTTAAAAATAATTATATAGAGCTGGGGATATAGCTCAGTTGGAAGAGTGCTTGCCTTGCATGTGTAAGGCCCTGGGTTCAATCCCCAGCACCACAAAAAAAAATAAATAAAAACAATAATATAGCTGAGTGTGGTGGTGCACACCTGTAATCCCAGTGATTCAGGAGGCTGAGGCAGGAGGATTGAAAGTTGAAGGCCAGCCTCAGCAACTTAGCAGGACCCTGTCTCAAAATTTAAAAGAAGACTGAGGATATAGCCCAGTGGTAAAGTGCCCCTGGGTTCAAGTCCCAGTACCAAAACAAAACAAAACAATTTATATAGCCAAGGATGTCTGCTTTGAGAATTATGAGAGCTACATGTCTTTTTGCCCTCCAGCTTTAGCTTGCCATTTTTAAAAATTCTCAACACTCCTCTCTTGATTCTTACTATTGCTAGTCAAGAAAAATAGGATTCTTTCTGCCTGTAACCAAGGAAACCTGGCAGGTGGCCAAGAACAACCAGAAAATAAGCAATCTTATTACATTGGTGATTTCCTGTTATACAGAGTTTTAAGTCTAAAAATGCTCTGGAATTAAATGAAGTTAGGGGTAATCCTAAGGAACTACTAATGTTTTCTTGGCACATCTAGGGAATAAAGTACATGGGCATTGAATTGGCAGCAATTTTCTGATATGTTAAATGGCTGTTTTTATCCAGTTTCCTTCTATACATCAGACCACTTGGATGGTAGTTTTATGTATTTATTTATGTATTTTGCTGTACTGGGAATTGAACCCAGGATGCTCTACCACTTAGCTACATTCCTACCCTTTACTTATTATTTTGAGACAGAGTTTCACTAAGTTTCCAAGGATGGCCTCAAACTTGCCATCCTCCTGCCTTGGCTGAGATTTTAAGTGTGCCACCACGCCTGGCTGGATGGTGATATCCTAAAGTAATTATAATAGCTTAACATTTGAGATATTACTCTGTTCCAAGTACATATGTACTATGTTATACATCAATTCATTTAGTTCTCATACAGCCCTGTAAGATAGGTATTATTTCACTCCCAGTTTACTGGCAAGGGCCTTAAGGCAAAGGAGGTTAAGTAATTTGCTCAATTCCATACTAAACTTTCCATATTATATTCTATATTTTGATGCTCAGATATAAATTCACACAAAACAACATTCAAATATGGTATCCTTAAGAACTACATTTTCATTCACTCTTTTCTTTTTTGGTGTAGGGGATTGAGCCCAACACCTCAGGATCCTTAGCGAACACTTCACCACTGAGCTACACCTCAGTCCAGTCTAGATTTTTTTATGTGTATCTTCACTTTTGAGTTTTTTCCTAGTTATAAAGGCTAAAATCAGGTATTAACCCATCCAACTTCTGTTCCATGTTAGGTATGAGGCGAAAGCTACTGAAAAAACTCTTTAATGCCTATCATCTGAGCAGGGGATAAGTGTTGAATAATTAGCAATCAATCAGAATATGTACATGGTGGCTCATRTGACATAAACATCAATAATACTGAATACTTAATAGGTCTGACATCAGAATTTATAAACATAGAACATCCTTACACAGTAGGTATTATTGTCTCCATTTTATAGGTGAGGAACTGAGGCTCAAAAAGGTGAAGTGATTTGCTCAGTCACATAGCTAAAAAGAAGCAAAGTCAAGTCTATTCTGTTATACTTTGTCATTCCTGTCCTTCCTCACTGCCTCTTATCTGAGCTGGAACCTGTTTTATGTACATAGCACCCCACCTGTGATGCCCTGATGGAAGGGAGGCAGTGACTTCCGTCGGTTTATTTCATTCATACTTGCTCGACGCCAGGATCGTCTCCTGTCTCGATGATGGACAGACTGTTCTTGAATGGACAAATGAAGGGACCTCAACTGAAGTCCTTCCTGGTAGCTGGTATCAGAACTTTCCCCTTTTTCTGGGCTAGAGCCAAGGTGAATTCTTTCCTTTGCTTGAGTCATCTCCAAGGAGACAGATGATTTAGTAAACACTTCCACAGGGTTGAAACTTGATTGCAATTGATGATCATGTATCTTAGACGTCACTGGTTTCTCTTCTAGCATTTGTTATAAAAAAGTCAAAATACAAAATCAAACCCATCACAACTAAGTATATGAGCAAAAAGATGGAAAAAGAAAACCTGCCCCTACATAGAGGCATACGTCTGTGGTCCCAACTATTTGAGCAGCTATTTGGGAGCCTGAGGCAGGAGGATCAACCGAGCCCAGGAGTTTGGGCCAGCCTGAGCACAGCAAGATGCAAGAAGAAGATGAAAGGAGAAAGAAGAGGGAAGAGGGAGGAGAAGGAAGAGAAAAAGGAGAAGAAGGGGGTGTGTGTGGAGAAAAGAAAAGGAGGAAAATGCACTCAGATCATGGAAACACTGAGGAAGCATTTCTGCAAATACATGAATGTGACAATAAATCAACCAGTATCCAGGAAACAATTAGGTAATAGCTCAGAAGCCTGAACTCAAGGCAAGAGGCCTTGGACTTTCGCAATACTCACCTTTTATGATGTCTGATTCAGTCACTGAAGTCATCCTAGGTAGAAAACTCTGAAAACAGGAAAACAAAGTGATCTGTTCCTTTACATTTCAGGTCTAGTGTCACTGGGGCTTTTCTACCCTAGAATAGACCTGTGCTTCCCATCCTCTCTGAATTGGCTTCACCCACCTCCTACACAGAGTATAAAGAATAGGTCATTGCTCTCTATTCTGAACTTCTACAGAATTTATTGCTAGAAATACACATATTTCCCTATCTTCCACTAGCTAAAACTTTGTTTAAGTAATCCCTAATTCCTTAATTCAGTTGATGGTATTAGGACCTACTTGGTCTTCCAAACTAGAAAAACCACATTATCCTTTATTCCTTACTCTTAGCTTTCCAAAAGGCATATTAGTTCTACCAGGTCTCTACATCTTTCCTCCATTGCCACCATTACTAGTTTAGTTTTTAAAAAATTTTTAGTTGTAGATGGACACAATATCCTTTTTAAAATATATTTTTTAGTTGTAGGTGGACACAATACCTTTATCTTATGTGGTACTGAGGATCAAACCCAGTACTTCACATGTGCTAGGCAAGCGATCTACTACTGAGCCACAATCCCAGCCCCACAACATCTTTTTTATTTATTTTTATGTGGTGCTGAAGATCAAACCCATATGCTAGGCAAGTGCTCTACCACTGAGCAACAACCCCAATCCCTACTAGTTTAAGTCTCACAATTTCTGCTCTCTCGCCACCTCATTATCAGTTTCTTCACTGTTTTTTTTTTCTGCATTCAACACTGCTCCAGTGCAATCCATCCTTTAAAACAACTGCAGAAATTTTTCCCACCTTTCATTCAACAACTTTCAATAAGCTAGTCCCAGCTTAACCAGTTGGGATCTCTGTGATACCCTTTCCCTGTAGCACTTTTGAATCTTTGCACATATCTGTCCTTTCTGTATAACATTCATCCTTCCCAACCTCACTTAAATATGAAGCCACTTCTGTGAGATTTGGTAGCCACATCCCTTGGTCTCTAGTCCTGGCTGTAAAGTTTGTTAACATATCTGTCTCCCCGGTGTCTGTCACAGACAACTGACTTAAAAAGAGGGCAGGGATACAGCTGAGAGAATATCTCTTCATCGTTCATGCTACTAGCAGCCATCTGGATGTGGAGGGGCTTGGTAAAGAGAAATGAATAGAGACAACGTGGGAAAGGCAACACAACAAAGAAGGGTCCTTCAAAATCTAAATCCTCACCCTCCTTATGACTTATCACACAGACCAAGCTAGGACAATAGCACCAATTTGTCACCTAAGCGCTTCCGATCCGCTAGGACCTGTGCCATGTAAGCGCTTTACTCACTTCACGGTCCCGCTTCACCCCTTCCCCAACTTTGGGTGCTAGTACACACTCCACTTTGGAGAGTGGGAAACGAAGGTTCGGAGGGGGCGGAAAGCCTGCCCCAGCTCGTCCTGCAGCCAGCCCCTGCGCGCCCCCCGGTCTCCTTTTTTATGTGTATCTTCACTTTTGAGTCCATATTTCAGGACTCTAGGCCTCGGCCCTGCCCGAGCGGGAGGCGCACTCGCCCTCGGGTTTCTTTACTTCCAGAGAAGGTCGCCGCGCCCGGAGGCTCCCAGTCTCGAGCAGCGACAGCGGTGGGCTGGCTGCACACAGAGGCTGGGAAGGGGATAAGCAGGGGAGAGGTGTGCGACTTCCTGACCTCGGTGCGACGCCCATGCAGCTCGGAGCCTCGTTCCTGAAACACCGGCCACGGGTTACTCAGTCCGCGGCCCTATCTCAGCCCGGGACCCCCGTGCCACTGAGGCGGGTCTTCTCAGGTGCACCTCCGCGCGCGGTCCGCAGTCAACGTCACSGCTGCCACTTCCGAAGCTCCCGCCAACCAACGGCGCATGCGCGGCCGACAGGCTCTCTCGCGCGCAGGGAACACCCTGCTGCGGCTTAGCGCATGCGTGCTGCGGCGTCGACGCTGTTGCCCGCCCCGCCCCCTGTCCAAGTCCTTCCTTTCTGTTCCGACTGCTTACGTCACCACTTCACCATCTCTCCAGGTGACACGCTCTGGAGTCCCCTCCTAGACGTTCCAGTTTAAGGTGTCCTTTTTGCGCCTGACCGTCCCAGAACCCKTCTTTGATGGGGAAACAGGTCCAGATAGATACTTGAGGAAGGCAGGCAGCGCTTGAGAGAGCATCGGTTGTCATGTGCTTGTCGCTAGGCCATGGTCTCCCCTCCTTTTTTTTTTAAGCATTCTTTTTTTTTTTAACCTTTATTTTATGTATTTTTGTGTGGTGCTGAGAGTCTAACCCAGTGCCTCACACCACTGAGCCACAACCCCCCCAATCCCGCCTCTCTTTATCCCCTATCTCCAAAAGCTCTCTCTCCAGGGAGAATTGGAGCTCTGAGCTTGGTTTGCCCCAGCCTATCCCGCTCCTGTTCTTGGGGCTCCTTCAAGTACTTGGCAAAGTTGGAGAACTCTTCTTTTCACCCCCATCCCAGGCTACCCCTCCCCAAACCCCTTCCAACTCTTCTGCCCACCTGGTGAGAGGTCTTCTTTGTTCAAGCTGTGCTTTTTGTGTTAGAAGCCATTCCCTGCTCTTCCTAGCAAAATTCCCCAATTTTAAGCCTCATCTAAAGAACCATCTCTCTCAGAGCCTTCTCTGTGCTCCAGATGTCCCTTTTGCGCTCCAGGATCCCAACCAGTGCCTGCTCCACTATCCCTGTTGGTCTGGGAGGCTCCACAAAGCAGGCTGCTTCCTCAGCACCCAATGTAGTGCCATCAAAATGTCCCCTTTGATGAATGCAGTCCTTTCTTTTAGATCTAAAACCTGCAAATGTTGAATTAAAAGCAGTTCACAAGACCTGAAAAAGGAGTGGGTATAGGCAACAGTAGCATGACTGGCCATCCTTCCATAGCAGGTGTGGCCATTAGACAATGGTCTAAGAACAGAACTCAGTGGAACCAACCAGGACAGGCCATCCTGGGACATACTGAGAATATTGCCTAATGGAATCCAGAGCCAGAACATCCTCTATGTCTTTTCTCTGCTCAGAATTCTCCCATGGCTCCCTTCTGTCCACATGATGTATAAAAATCCTTTCTCTATAAAGGCACTGTGTGATCTGATGCAGCCTCTTCTTTCATCATTCCCCATTCCATAGACACCAAGCTTGTTTAATTTCTCTAGTTCTTCTCTGCTTTCTTTTCTTTCTTTTATTTTATTTGGCAGGGGGTAGTACTGGGGATTGAACTCAGTGGCACTCAGCCACTGAGCCACATCCCCAGTGTTATTTTGTATTTTATTTAGAGACTCACTAAATTGCTTAGTGCCTCAAAGTTGCTGAGGCTGGCTTTGAACTCATGATACTCCTGCCTCAGCCTCCTAARCTGCTGGGATTACAGGTGTGTGCCACCATGCCTGGCACTGCTCTGCTTTCTTTTGCAGGACTGGGGATTGAAGTTGGGGCCTCATACTGATGAACCCAATCTAATTCCATTTTAAGATTGGGAGTCATCTTATCTTGTCACAAAGTTATGAAAAGCTCATTTCTCTTTTACCATAAAATACTAAGATTTCTATTTGGCCTGACCACCTGATGTTTAAACTTGTTTGAAATTCCTGTGTGTACTCTGAACTCATTCATGCCTGGCTCTCCTTGACTAGATAACAACCCTCCTAAAACCTCAGCAGCACCTCATAAATTCTAATGTTGGAATCTCAATGTACTCCCTACCTTGAAATGTTAAGCCACGTAGATCATTAACCTGGTATCTGTCTTTGTATTTTGCTTGCCAGATCCTGTTAACTGTAAGTTCCCAAGACACCCCCCTTTGTAACTCTTTGTGCTATAAAACCTTTTACCGGGGCTGGGGATGTGGCTCAAGCAGTAGCATGCTTGCCTGGCATGTGTGCAGCCCGGGTTCGATCCTCAGCACCACATACAAACAAAGATGTTATGTCCGCCGAAAACTAAAAAAAAATAAATAAATATAAAACAAAAACAAATAAATAAAAAATAAAACCTTTTACCTGGAGAGCTGGGGGTTGATCTCTAGCCCGTCTTTGGGAGAGACAGTTGCTGGCCACTTCACAAGAGCTGTTTTGTGAACACAATCCAAGCTTGCTTTAATTTGATTTAAAATTGGAGTCAGTGGGCTTTTGTTTGCATTGTGGTTCAACAATACATGCTTGGCAAAGTACCACTGAGCTACATTCTTAGCACTTTTAAAATTTTAGCTTGAGATAAGTTCTTGCAAATTTGCTCAGGCTGGCTCAAACATGTGATCCTTTGCCTCAGCCTCTTGAGTAGTTGTCTGCTCTTTATACTGGGCTTTCATACACGCTGTTCCTCCCTCTGTACCATCTCCCCTTAGGCTTTTGCTTGCATTGTAGTCCAACATCATCCCCTTCATCTGGTCAGCATCTCAACCTTAGTGTCAGTTCAGATTTCCCTTCCTTTGTGAAGACTTTCCTGGTTCCCCTGGGCTCCCCAACCCCTTGACATTAGATATCTTGTTTTCTAGACCCATCTATTGTGTCCTCAGTGCCTGGTACAGGCCTGGCTGTTATTAACCCCTTACAAAAGAAGAGATCTCTCAAATATTATGTGCTATTCAGCTTCCAAGATGGCCTCAGTGATTCATTTCCTGGTGTTTATGCCCTTGTACTGTCCCTTCCCACACTGAAATGATATGGTTTGTATAGCCCCTGCGGCTCTCAACAATATTGTAGAAGCTGGGCATAGTGCCACATACCTATAGTCCCAAACATCCTGTTTCAAGATAAACTGAAAAGGGTTGGGGATGTAGCTGAGTGAAGCTAGCTGCCATGTTGTGACTATATACCAGCAGGTCTATGGAGAGTTCTGCCTGTTGAGGACCTGAGGCCTCTTGCCCATAGCCAGCACTGACTTGTCAGGTATGTGAATTAGCCACCTTCAAATCGCCCTTGCAGCCCTTGTCAGGCATTCAGACAACTGCAGCCAGGGTTGGATGGTGTGAATCGTGGTACAGTGTTTGTTAGCATGTGTGAGGTTCCATCGCCAGCATCAAAATAAATAAAGTGTGAATAACTGCAGCCTAATTGACATCTGACTGCAGCCTCCAGAGACCCTGAAGCAGAACAACCCAGCTCCCAAATCCTGACCTACAGCATCTGTGAGAGGTAAAAGATGTTTAGAGATAATTAATTTCAGGACAATGTCTTAATTGTCCTTTTTTTTTTTTAACCATAATAAATTCTTTTAAGTCTTTTGCAGAAAAGCTTAATCCTGTTTTTCTTCTTGAATGCTCTGCATTTCTTACTGGTCATAACGCACCTCCTGGGAGACACTGAATCAGCCATGTTAGCAGCTTGAACTCCTGGTGGTCCCTCCCAAGTGACACCACCAGCTGGTATTCCCATCTTCCCAGGCAAATGCAGGTGGGTTGGAGTCAAGTTTCAAACCTGCTGCCCCACCCCCACCCTGCTAGAGAAATCAGAGAGGAAGCCAAGTCATAGCAACTGTTCATATGACATACTTTATTTCCAATCTACAACCATTAAAAACGTTTTGTAAGTTTACACTGTACAATTATTCTCATGTCTGAAATAAGACACGGGGGGCGGGGGCAGGGAGAGCTGGTGGATTGGACTGCAGTTGTCCTAGCACCCAATCCATCCTGGGAAGGAGCCTTTTGAAGACAAAAGAGAGGAGGAGAGAACAGTGGAAAGGACAGGTGGACAGTTGGCCCAAGGATGCCCTTGGTCCCTTCCCTCCCCGGGGGCCTTTCCCTGGGGGGTCTCCCAGGACCCACAGCTGCAGGACCCTCACCAGGCTGAGTAGGAAGGGGGCTTCACAGTATTGGCAGGAGCTGGGGAGGGACCAGGATGAAGAGGAAGGACAGCTTCTGGCTCTCTTCCCCAGGTGTTGGGGATTTGGAGCTTTTTTGGCACTATCTATAATAAGGTCTTCCTAGGGTTGGGAGGAAGAGGAGGAGCTGGAGACTTAGGATTTTTTTCTTGCAGAGTTAGGATTCTTTCCACTTGGAGAGAGACCATCTGGCCTATGGTGAGGTTCCCAAGGGACAAACTAACAGGGTCCTTTGCCTCTTGCCTCTCCAGGACTCCCACCCTTGCCTGCTGCCACTGCCCAGACAGCCTTTTGTAAAATCCAGGCAAATGGGAGAGGGTGAGCACAGCTGGCACTGAGCCAGGGTCAGGAAAGGGAAAACTGCATGTTCTCCCCAGCCCACCAGCTTCCTGGAAGCAGAGACACCAATGGTTGTTTTTGTTGTTGTAGTTTTATGGGGGGCAGGGGCCCCCATTCTTTGCCAGCTCCAGTCCATTCCAGCCTGCACTCACTGCTAGCCTGGGCCAGCAGTTKGCCAGCTTGTGCATGTGGGAATGACCTGGAAAACTCTTTCAAATCCCAACTTGCTGTTACCTGCCTGGGAAGTTCTAATTCAGTATGCCCCAGGTGGGGCCCAAAATTTGCACTTCTGCTGAGTTCCCTGGTGATGCTCCTGCTACTGGGACACAATTTGAGAGCTAGTGGTCTGGAAGGGTGCCCCCAGTCACCTTATCCTTGGCAACCTGGTACCTCCAGGCAGGGCCATGGCAGGCAAGGTCCAGCCATAGAGGCACCAAAGGATCTGGAAAGATCCTGGGAATGGACTTTTAGTGAGCCCCCCTGTGCAGAGAAGTAAAYTAAGGCACAGAGATCAGTGGCGGAGCTTTGGAGGGTGCTCTGGGGCCCATAGGGTCATCCTAATGCTCATCAGAAGACCGTAAGACTGAGAAGGTCAGAGAAATTA